GGTGCGCGCGGCGTCCTGGTGTCCGCGCTGGGCTGCCGCCGCCGGCGCCTGCTGGGGGGCCTGCCCTGGCAATTGGGGCGCCCCCCGGAGGGTTGGGGGCGGGGACAAGAAAAATGGTTACCGAGCTGGACGGTGCCAGGGGAACAGCGTATGTGTGGCCTGGCAGGCGTCGGCCCGTGGGTTCACGGAGAAGGCCCTTTTTCTCCTAAAAAGAAAAGTCGCTGTCAACAGTAGTTTAAAACATTTGGGGCAAGTTGGTGAGCTTACCTTTCTGTCACAGCTAGGGAGTTTCGGTAGGTCTATTGCCCGGCGGTTTGGAGAAAAACCAGGTGAACGAAAGTGGCCGCTACCAAAGAGGGAAGTAGCAGTTAGGTCGTTGGATTCGCACATGGGTCACCGCCGTTCGAGTCCCAGACCCGGTGGCTTGAAACTCTTGCCCAGCGCGTGCGCGTCTGTGCCCAAAATCCCAGGAGGAGAAGAGACTAGCAAAATCCCAGGAGGAGAAGAGACTAGCGTACCTGGGGGAAGTGGGGGAATTCTCACTTTTCCTCTCAGGGTAATGTCTCTCCTGCAAGCAAACATGCCCTAAGGCAAAAACCTCTCCCCCCCCAAAAAAAAAAATTCTTACTTGGGCAAGTGTAAAATCCAAGCTGTAAAAGGAGGGTTCAGACTCAAAGTCACAAGCAGTATCTCAGCAAAAGACTTGCTTTTTTATATGTACTTTTTTATATGTACTGATATATGTACTTCTCCCTAGAAAACAAAAACAACCTGAACCAAAATATATTAAAAATGTCTTATTTTTGTCACCTTTCTTAAGTGTTGGGCCTCAATATAGCCATGCTCTGCATAACAAAGTTTTTGCCAACTGGACAGTGCATACATAGTATGGAGTCTAGGCAACTCCTTCTAGTTTGTGTTACATGCACTCTGATGTTCACACAACACCTAACTTGCATAAGGATCCATTTCTCAGAATGTTTCTCCCCTCATTAACACATGACTGGACCTAAATTTTGGAAACAAGCATTTTATACTACCAAGTTAGCTGCAAAACAAGTTTTCAAAAGAACTGTGTGTGTTCTAAATGTTTTGAGGTCTACACTGTCCAGAATATTCTTTTTATGTGGCGAACCCTCTATTTCATTTTAAGTTCCGGATAGTAAAGCTTGGAAAAAAGAAACAGTTCTTTTAAAGGCTATATTCTATAATACTAGGAGAGAAAACAAGGGTATAAAGTTACAGAAGCATAAGAAATGTACATCACTGAAATATTTGAAGATGTCAGAAGAAAACCGACATTTGGAATGAAAAATGGTAGGGAGTGTTTGAACTTTAATCACTCCACGGATTATTGTCATGTGAAATGTGGCTCCTTCATACACAAATGTGATTTCCTCTGACACAGGACAATAATCTATATTTTTATTTGATTTTTCTGTATTATTCAATGTTATCGGCAATCAATGCAGTTAATGACGCGCACACTCTTATGAACTGAGTACACCTGGCTTGTGACCTCTGCATATTCTCACACAAATATTCCGAAATAATTAATTAGAGGATGGACTGTATTCTGGAGACTGGGATCCTCAGGAAAAAAAGTTTAAGAAAGGTAGAATTGAAGTTGGGTAGGATAGAAAAGGGGTCATAGAGGGAAAGGATGTAATAGGGAGTGATGTCTTGGAACTGGGAATTCAAATGGCAGTAGACCTTCCTTGGAGCAGGTCTGGAAAGGCAAGTGCCAGGAGAAGGTAAAATTGTTCTGAGGAAACCCTCTAATGCCAGACAAAGAAGACTGAAGTCATTCTCAAACTCGAGCGTACGTTAGAATCAGCTGGAGGATTATGAAAACAGAGTGCCAGGCCTTGCTTCCACAGTTCCTGATTCAGAAGGTCTGGGCTGGGGCCTGAGAATTTCCATTTCTCACCAGTTCTCAGGTGCTGCTGGTCTGGGAACCACACTTTCAGAACCACTGTCCTAGAACATGGAGCACTAATTGGAGGAATTTGAGGAAGAGAGTAAGGAGGCCACATTCATGTTTCGAGATGAATCTTACTGTGAAGTCCAAGCGAGAGGATTGGAGAGAAAAGGAAAAAGATGGTTCCTAAGCATGAATTAGCACCTGCTTGACACCAGTTCCTCTGCCAGGCTCTCTCGTGCCCACTATCTTGTTTCATACTCACTGTGACCCTGATATGTAGGTCTCAACGTTTTCATTTTGCAAGGGGAAGAAACTACAAGAGTATGAGAGATTACCCTGATATCCAAACTGACCTCAGAGCTCTGTAAGACTAGTGCAGATCTGAACTAGGGTGGTAGCAGTGAGAATGAATCAAAACATTTAATGGTAATGGAATTTAGAAAAATAGAGACTTCCCAAACAAATCAGAACCTAAAAGAAGTTGGGAAACCTGAGTCTTATTGGAAAAGGGATAAAAAGTAAAGTGGACAGAGAACTTTAGACTATCCCTGAATGAATTCAGTATGTGTTCCGTATAAAATAACGATGACCTATTTTAAAACCTGTTTTAAAATTGGCTTATTTAAAAAGCCATTCTACTCTACATAATTTTCTGAAATTATTTGAAAAGGGGAAAGTAGAACTTTCTATAGGGGTGGTGGGAGACGGTAAACAGATTAATGACACCTGACAGCTTATCTTTAAATCAAAAGTGATTAACATTGAGAAATGAAAACATATGGTATAACACTGCATTGACTGTATGAATTGTGCTACGTTGCAGACACTGACCTAATGTATTGATTTTGGAAATCTTGCTTGCTTTTTCTTGCCAGAGTAGTTATTGAAATTGAGCATATTCATTGGATCAATTTCAAGACAAATATCCCAAGTCAGACTGGCTGCTGCTGAGCAAATTTTTAATGAAGGAAAACATCCATATATTGAAATTAGACTTTAAAAAGAAAGTCCTTAAATATATATTTACCGTGAATATAGAAAAAAAGTGTTTTCAGAACATTGATTAACTGAATAATCACTGGAGTTGACTTACCCATGCACAATTACAGCAATATTAATTCATTTATCTATGAGCCATAGATTGCTGTGGATACAAAGATAGCTCACTGTGCTGCCCATACTGGCTGAGAGCTTGTGATCTTGAGTACAGTAGGTAGGACTACAGGTGTGTGCAGCCATACCCGGCTTTTAGAGCAGGGCAAAACTGAACCCAGGCCCCCCAGTGGAGTCTCAGCCTGCCAAGCAAGCAGCAGTGTCCAATGTATGATACTGTGGCTGGGTAAAAATTTGCCAGAGGGCACGTGTACTTTCTAGAGATAGAGGGAAAGTGAGAAAGCATCCAGTGGGGTGCAGTCACATTGCAATCCCTTCTCTGTTTTTCCATTTCTCTTTTGGGCACACATGTCCACTGGGCTTTTTAAACAGTGGGTCTGGGGCTTGAACCATGTGGTTGGCCATGTGGGATCAACCACCTTAACTACCAGGCTGTGGGCTGGCTCAGTATACTTTTTTTTTTTAATTTATTTTATGAGTTTGGGGGTGGGAACAAAGGATACCAATAACCTTGAAAGGGTCTTACCATGTAATATTGCTTTCCCTTCCCCCAGCCAGTCAGCATCTTGGGCCTATGTAGATGCACCTGGCATGTTCAGGTCAACTGGGATTCAATTCCAGGCCTCCAGTATGGCCCAGGTATCCCACATTGTCACCTTACTGCCCATGCCACCATGTGCCTAAAAGATATTTTGAGGAAAACAAATGAGTCTTAAAGTGCTACTGTCCATGCGAACCTTCTTGCACAAGAAGGGATACCCTTACCAATCCATTTCATTATTTTTACCTACTTAGTGTTTTCTATTGTATAAACTGACTTTCTGGTTTGTTTGGCATGACAGTGCTTTGAGGTTGCTTACTGAATGTAAATTCCCAGAACATCTCTCATATTTTGTTAATGCTTAGCTTGCAAAATTGTAGGATGAAACCACACTCTCAGGAATCATGGAAATTAGTTGAAATACTATTATTGGGGAAGTTCTTTGATTTCTTTCTGTAAAAGCAGGAAAAGTTACATGAGCAAGTGGCAAGTTCTCCCTATGTGATTTTGTCATTCCAGTGGATTTCATCCATTCTGCCCGTGACATGTAACTAAGGGTAGAAAGCTGGCAATACAAAGATCGAACTGACTTTTTAAAATGTGTGAGTTCCTTTAAACTCTGGCTGATTGGATAAATTTGTGGGGTTGTCGTTCAAGTGTGAAACTCTGTGGAGTGAAAACGATAATAAATGTTTAAGAAAAAAATTCATTTTATGTGTTATAAAAATATATAGTGATTGAATGTTAAAAAAATTAAAAATGCTTAAGAAAAAGATTTGGATTGTTCTATCACCTAACACTTTATTGGAGCTGCTACCAATAAGGTTTGCACAGGAAATGTAATTTTTCATTGTGGACTGAGCAAAAAACATTTTTAAAAAAGATATAACAGCCTGTTGTAATCATACCATATTGAAATGTAAGGAATTGTTTTATTTTCTGGAGACTTGACATCACATAGATAAGAGTTTATGAAATTTATAGTTTTCCCAAGGTCTGGCGTTAGTTGTGGGGCCTTGGCCAGCTAACCTAATGTTGCACAGCCTTCCTGTAAATACGGTGTCATCCAGCCACTCTAGGATTGTTGGGAGAATCAGCCTTAGCTCCGGAAATAACACACACAACAGTCAAACTCAGCAAAAGGCAGCCCTGGCTGCTTTGCTGTTAGGGTGGTCCAGGGGGTTGGGATACCAAGAAAATCAGTTTCCAGGGAGAGGTTTGAAAGTGTCAGTTTAGGTTCTGTACATTTCGATAGTTTTTTGATTTTGGGTGAAAAATGGTACCTTTGCCTATCCTTTTCATTTAAAGGTGTTTTAAGATTTGTATTGGCATCAGAAAGCAGAGAACTTCTCAATCCCAAATTGTGATAAAGCCTGCAGTATAAACCATACACCTGTCAGATAGTTGGCATGCATTTTCTGAGAAAGATTGCAGTAAAATTTGTGTGAGAAACCACTATTTTTAAATGCTAGAGCAATCTAGAATACCTTTTTCTCAGATGATTTTTATTCATTTCATTTATTTAGGGAATATTTGCTTGTATTGTTTTAAAGGACTTACTTGCATCTAGTAAAGCTCTTGTTACTGGGTTTTGATTCCTTTGAAACTTGTCATTTTGTTTTCCTGTTTTGAAAGATTGGTTAGATGGGTTTGTCAGGCAGAAAACTAGATGTGCATTCCAGACACCTGATTTTTACTACATCATATAGATGGTTTAAAAAAAGAGCTTCCATGCTAAAAATGGTCATTAGCTTTTGTGTATCATGTTATTTTGGATTCTGTGAAACTTCAAATTTTTTTCAAGAGAGATTTTTTTTTCCTATAGGGCATGTGCACACACCAGAGAGACAGAAAGTGAGAAATCATTCCCCCTGGGGGGTGGCCACACTGCAATCTCTTCTCCATTCTCGAATCTCTTGGGACCTTGGGCATGCATGCACATGTGCCCGGCATGAATTCTAAGCCACTGGGTCCGGGACTCAAACCACAGTCGACTTATGTGGGAGTCCAGTGATGTAGCCATTAAGCCATCTGCTGGTCCCTCGAGTATGGTGATTCTGATTTAAAAACAAAACAAAACAAAACAAAGCAAAAAACAATCCCTGTGCCTAGAATGGTAGCTAAAACATGATTATCCTATTTTTTTTGACATTGCACATAATTCTTTTTATGTGTGTGTGTATATATATATGTGTGTGTGTATATATATACACTTTAGTATATATACTAGTTTTATGTCAAATGTATAAGGTGACATGTAGGTACATTGAATATAACACTGATGATCACAATAGCTGGTAAATGAAGACTGCACCAAGTTTGATTCTCAGGGGAAAAAAATCTAAAGATAGAAGGAAGCAAATTTAGATTATGGCAAAGGTGATCATTAAATCATGAAAATATTCAAAATTATGCATTTTATCTTAAAGCTTTTTTTTTTGCTTGTGTTTTCTTACTATGACAACTATGTTAGTTTGTTTTGTTTTGTTTTGTTTTTAATTGCCAAGGAGCATGTGTGCTCACCAGAGACAGACAGAGAAAGAACACTCCCTCAGTGGGGAATGGTCACACCACAATCCCTTCTCCTCCATTTCTCCATCCTGTTGGGAGCATGTGCACACGTGCTCAGTATGTTTTTCCAGCTGTTGGGGCTGGGGTTCTAAATGGGGCCAGCTCTGTGGGATCTGGCGCCCTTAACCATTAGTCTATGGAAACGGCCCAGCAACTATACTATATCTTATGCTGATATTAACAAATTATTCCATATTTAGCGGCCTAGAGCAGTACAAATTTATTATCTTGGTTCTGTTGGCCCGAAGTCTATCATGGGTCTCATGTAACATAGCATATTCACTGGGCTAAAATCACAGTGTTAGTAGCACTTTGATCCATCCCAGAAGGTCTAGGGCAAGATCAGTTTCCTTGCCTTTTCCAGCCTCTCCAGGCCGCCTGCATTCATTGGCTCATAGCCATTTTAATCCATCTTCACAGTCAGCAAGGGTGGGCTGAATCCTCTTGACTCCACTTTTTCTATCTCCCTCTTCCAGTGAAAAAGTGTAATTTAGTTCTTCCAGGAGATATACACACACACACACCCACACATACCCACCCACACACACACACCCTACACACACACAGGAAGATACATAGAGACAGACAACCCCTTGAGTCCTCACGTCTCAGTCTGTATCCCCATTCTCAGCTGGCTCAGGACACTGGCCTGTGCATATGTGCCATACATGCTAAGGGCAGTTCTAAGATGCCAACACAAAGCCCTTCCTGTGTGGGTCCAGCTGTACCACCTCTAAACCCCCTTTTCCATTTTAAAGAACCTTGGTGATTATATTGGGTTCACCTGGATAATCTATGATTTTTTTTTTTTTTAAAGAGGTTTTTGTCTTAGGGCTCATGCACTGGTAAGGGGGAAAGAAAGAGAAAGACAGACACAGGGAAAATGAGAAATCACCCCCCTAGGTGGAATGGCCAAGCCATAATCCCTTCTCCATTTTCTTCCTGGGATCTTGGACACATGCACACATGCCCAGCATAATTTTCAAGGCACCAGGTCCGGCACTCAAACTGTTGTCGGCCATGTGGGAGTCCAGCGATGTTACCACTACACCATCTGCTCCTCCCCATTTTTTTGTTTTAAGTTCAACTGATTAGTAACCTAAATTCCATCTGCAGCTTTGCCATGTAACATAGCATATTCACAGGTTCTAGGGGTTTGGACAAGAACAGTTATGGGACACAAGTATGCCTATCTCCTTAATTGTTCATGATCTCACTGCAGTCCTTTTTCCTCCAATTCTTTATCCCATCAGGATTCTTCGCACACATACATGCATGGTCTGGACTCAAACTGTGGTTGGCTGCATAGGATCCAGCTTTCTCTGCACAGTGCTTAACTGCTGGGCTATAGGACTAGCCCTACCTGTTCTCTTTACTCAAGAGGGACCTGAAGTGTAGGATAATTAAGTAACCACTCTGACTCAGTCTACCATGCCTGCTTTCATTATCTCACAAAGTGTAAAATGCCACCAAATTACATAAAGGATCCTCACTTAATTCCATAGCAGTTCAAACTTTAGTGTGTTTACCTTCAGAGATTCTGTGCATTTATAATCAGCACCCAGATGGTTCTGACTGTAATTTGAGATGGCCAGACATTGATGTGGTTACTGTACAACCCTCCAGTTTGCTTCACATTAAGGCTCATTGGTGGTGGTGATTAAGCTAAGCTGTTTGCATACATCTGTATTGCTCAGTGAGTCTGTTGAATGTGTACCTGGATCTAGACATGTGCCATAAATGAGTACACTACTAATCACATTTCTTTTGTAAAAACTGAATAAAAGGCAGCATCAGAGGGATTCTTTTTTTTTTTTTTTTAAAAAAGCCTTTGGTATGTGCAGCAGAATTGGGTATGTTGACCTGAGGAAATTGTTAAGATGAACATAAGAAAAAGCATGACAACATTTCCACTTTAATGGGGTTTTGTATACTTGGTTTTGATTTAGAAGATAATTTAAATGTAAATTCAACCTCACAGTAGCGTAATAATTCCATGTTGTGGGCTATTCTGAATATTAACTGTGGCCAAGGAGGGAACCCTCTCTCCTAAGGGTAGTAAGAAAACACTCACTTTAGTGAGTGTAATGGCTATGTCGCTGGACTCCAATGTAGTCTAACACAGTTTGAGTCCCGAACTCAGTGGCTTAAACTCACGCTGGGCACGTGTGCATTTGTGCCCAAGATTCCAAGAGGAGAATGGAGGAGAAGGGATTGCGGTGTGGCCATCCCCCTGGGGGGTGATTTCTCACTTTCTGTCTCTCTATTTCTCTGTCTTTCTGGCGAGTGCATGTGCCCTATAGCAAAAACTTCTCAAAAAAAAAAAAAAAAGAAAAGAAAATGCTCTCTCATTTGTACCATGGAGAGCACCGTGATCATGCGCGTTTTAGACATTGGGGAAAATGCTGTGCATTCAGTTTTACTGCTTCTGTGTCTCAGCTCTATATTGAACTGGCAAAAATACTTCTCTTTCTTCTAGGGAGGTGCAAATCTCGCTGAGCCAGAAAGTATCCAGTGTTTTTCTTCAATTACAGACAAAATGACTATCCCTATGCTGCTCCCACGGCCTCACCAGCGTTTCCTAAAGGGCCTTTTAAGAATACCTTTCAGACATCATCACTTCATCCTTCACTCAAGTTCTTATCTCAGATCAGGAATCCCATGTGCTCAACCATTGAATTTCCTTGGACTCCATTGTACAAATTGGATGGTGCCTTCGAATGGTTTAAAGAGGAAATTATGTGTACAAACAACCTTAAAGGACCACACTGAAGGACTTTCTGATAAAGAACAAAGATTTGTGGATAAACTTTATACTGGCTTAACCCAAGGGCAAAGGGCCTGTTTAGCAGAAGCTATAACTCTTGTAGAATCAACTCACAACCGGAAAAAGGAGTTAGCGCAGGTGCTTCTTCAGAAAGTATTAATCTACCACAGAGAACAAGAACAATTAAATAAAGGAAAACCACTAGCATTTCGAGTGGGTCAGTCTTTCCTTATTTATTTATTTATTTATTTGTGTGGTTCAGTAAATATTTTTTTTCTCAGTTTTCTTTATTTTTTTTTGGAGAGGTTTTTGCTATAGGGCGCGTGCACTCGCCAGACAGACAGAGAGAGACAGAGAGACAGAAAGCAAGAAATCACCCCCCAGGGAGGATGGCCATGCTGCAATCCCTTCTCCTCCATTCTCCTCTCGGGATCTTGGGCATGCACGTGACATGCATCCGTTGTGAGTTTTAAGCCACCAGGTCCGGGACTCAAACTGCGGTCGACCACATGGGAGTCCAGCGACATAGCCTTTACGCTAACTGCTGGTCCCTCAGTTTTCTTCTTTTAAAATATGTGTAAATCATATAAATCATTACAATCTAATGGGGATTTTTTTAAAAGAATTTTGGGATAAATTTTAAATGCCTTTTCTTTGAAAATATTACATTGAAAAAAATTGCCTTGATAATTGTGAACCAAAACTTTGTATCTTAAGAGAATATCAAGATTTCTATTTTGGCAAGACTCTTGCTGTGACTTGTGGAATAGAAACATGCATAGAAAGAACCATTAACCAGTTTACTCCTTTCTTTCAGGAGTCCTACTTAATAGTAAAGTGAATTTTCTGGTTTTGTGGTTATATCAACTATGATTATCCTTATCACTTTTTTTTCTTTAAAGAGGTTTTTGCCTTAGGGCTGGAGAGAAAGATGAGGCAGTGAGAGGGAAGTGAGAAATCCCCCCCCCCCCAGGGGGATTGGCCATGCCGCAATCCCTTCTCCTCCATTCTTCTCCTGGGATCTTGTACACACACACACACACACATGCCTGGTGTGAGTTTCAGGTCACTGGATTCGGGACTCAAACAGCAGTTGGCCATGTGGGAGTTCAATAATATAACCATTACGCATCTGCTGGTCCCTCCTTATCATTTCAAAATTCTATTTCTTAGGCATTTGATCTTTCTATTGGTGAGTCTCATACCCTTCAGAAACTTTTTGTTAAGTTTCTGGGAGTGGCTGTCAACTGAGCCTTCTGCTGAAAACAACCTGAAATGGTGATTAAAGTACAGAAGTTTTGTGGAGAAAGAGTAAATCCATTTGAAAATTCACATTACACTAAATTTATATCACAGTTTATTAGCATAGAGACTAAAACCTACTTTTTAAGGTAATGGGTATAAATGCTTTAAAGATAGTTTCAGAAATAGATCATCAAACAGTATTTCTGTTTTTGTATTTTACACTTGTTAATGTATTTTACACTTACTCTGCCTTTGCTGAAGATTCTTATTTTGAGAGTGCTAAGTGTTAATAATCTTTACATATTGTTGACAGAGAAAACAGCAAACTCCCAAAGAGAAATTCTACCTATGATGAAGTGCCTACTCTCTAGGTTTTGGAGAATCCTTGAAGAGAAAGTGTCCCCCAAATTTCTATAGAGTTAACTAGCAATAGACAAAGAACTTGGCAGTGCTATTCTGATTCTTCCATCAAGATCTTATGAGGCTGGCCTCATAAAATAAGCCTGTGTTCTTAGTACAGATATTTTATTACTTACATAAATAAGACCAAAACATATTTATTAAGCGCCAGCACTTATCAATGTTTTTAAGACAAATACCTATCCTGAGAATTGTGATACAGAGCCAGACATAACATATGCTGTATATTGAGTTATCAGAAAAGTCATGACGCTTTTTTCATTAGCAAAAAAATACGTCATGACTTTTCCAACAACCCAATGTATACCTTTAATTTTCTTGCACTTAAACAACTATGTTTTTTGTCCTTTATTGAACATAAGCCTGTATATCTCTTATTGCCATATACTATGTGTCATACATTGTTCTAAACAAACTGTAAACACCAACACACCTAATTCTTAGAACCACCTGAAGAGATAGGTACTGTTCTTGTATCTGCTTTTTTTGCAGAGGATACCGAGGACAGCAAGAGAGTAAGCAACTTGCCCATTATCACCCTGCTCACAAGAGGCAGAGCTAGAATGAGGACCAGCTCCAGGGTTTATGCTCTCACCTGCTGTCCTCTGCTAACTCTCAAGTAGAATTTTTTTTCAGGATTCAATTTATATTCTTTGAGTTATGAGTGAGAGAAAGGGAAAAAAAATGATGCTTTATAAATAGAAAATTACTTTTTCAATCACTGGGAATTTCTTGAATAATTAGTTGCTTTTCCTGTGGGAAATCAAAGTGTACAGATTTGGGGTAGGTGGCATAATTACTGATTATGGTGGAGGTGGGTAGATGTAGAAATTGAACACTTTAATGAAGGCAATGGGGTCTGTTCAGAAAGACCTACAGTAAAAAGGGAAATACGTTTTGTAATTTTTAAATGTAAATTTTGTTGGGCCAGTAGGTGGCATGGTGGTTAAGGTGCTGGATTCCCACATGACTGACCATGATTTGAGTCTTGAGTCCTAGATCTGGAGGCTTGAAAAATCATGCCAGGTGTGTGTGCCCAAAATTCCAAGAGCAGAATGGAGGAGAATGGATTGTGGCATGGCCAACCACCTGGGGTGTGATTTTTCACTTGCCCTCTCTTTCTCTCTCTCTTTGGTGAGCACAGGTACCCTATAGCAAAAACTAAGGAAAGGAAAAAAAAAAGAATTTTGTGACTATATGGAACTCAAAATTCTTTCTTCTATTCTTATTACTCAGGAAGTAGATAAAAGCATGGATTTTCATTTACTGCTTTAGAATATAATATGTTAGTGCTGGGTTATGTTAATGATGGTTTCGCTATATTAGAGAAGTAGATGGTAGTTGAATATTTTATTCAATAAAACTGATTAGAGTGCTGATTACATTTGTTTCATTAAATTAGAAGATCTCTTTCCATCGTAGGATTGTCTGGGCCCCCTGGTGCTGGAAAATCAACTTTTATAGAATATTTTGGAAAAATGCTCACTGAGAGAGGGCACAAATTATCTGTATTAGCTGTCGACCCTTCTTCTTGTACTAGTGGTGGTGAGTATGGCTGACTCTCTTAAATTGCAGACCCAGTGGGGGCCTCTCTGTTACACATCAGTGGGACTTTGCACAGCTAGGTGACCTCTAACTGCCAGCTGAGTTTGGTCTAACTGAGGAAGGGAGTTCTACTAGATGAGGTGGGAACTGATAAAGGTAGTTTGAAAGCATTGGACTTGGCAGAGGAGGCCAGCTGGTGAGTAGCTCAGTGGGTGCTTAGAGAACTGAGAGATCAGGTGCCAGAAGTTGGAGATGATCAAAGGCAAACATTAGCCCTTTGGCTCTCAGGACTAAGGGCAGGCAACTCTTCTTACCTGTTGTTTTCCTGGCTGCATCAGTAGCCATGCAGAAGGAAAACGGATCCTTACTTATTATTGTAGCATCTCTTAAGCTGTTTATAACTTGTCACCTGTTATATTATATTCAGTAAACAGACAGCTCTTAGAGGGATCACGTAGTATATTGCTCTTCCCCCTACTCAGTATAGTGTGTGGTTGCACAGAATGATTGGACTGTCAATTTGATCAGTTGCTAATTAGAGGTCGTGAAGTCACTCAAAGTTTGATTTGTAGCTCTTTAGAAATAAAACGAATATAAACTTAGCTCCCCAAAGGATCCTTTAAAGAAAATATAAAGCATACACATGAATATCTTTACCCTTCTTTATTAGTTAAGCTTCTCATATAGCAGTTATGCACTTCACAGGCATTTGAATGCCTACTATAGGCAAGGCATTGTGTGTGGGAGGTACTGTGTTGTATTATGATGAATAAGACACATGGTGCTTTATGTTCTATGAAGGTAACATGAGTGAACATAAGCCATAACAATCTAATGTGTGTTATGAAGGGTCAATACAGGGTGCCTGTGGAAGTGTTTGATTTATACACTGTGGTGTACTGTGGACTTAATGCCAAAAATTAAAAAACGTTAGTGTAAATTGTATATTAGGGACCTTAGATCAATAGAGAGGTGAACAGCAGTTCCTATCCCCAACCCCATCAAGAAATCTGGCTTAGGGGCCAGTCCCATGGGGTAGTAGTTAAGGAGGCTGGATCCCCCATGGCTGACTGTGTAGTTTGAATCCTGGCCCTAGCAGCTTGAGAAGTACACTGGGCATATGTGCATATGTGCCATGAATTTCAACAGGATAGAGAAATGGAGGAGAAGGGATTGTGGTATGATCATGCCCAATTTGGGTGTGCTTTTTCCTTCTCACTCCCTGTGTCACTTTCTTGTAAGCACACATGCCCTCTGTCAAAAAAATGAAAATTGAAAATGAAATCTTGCTTGGAACATTCAATTTTTAATTCACTATAATAAAAAGTTAACTGTAAAATAAGATCTATACTCAAAGAGTTCAAGATTAAATCTATGACGGGAACCAGCAGTTAGCGTAATGGCTATGTCGCTGGACTCCCATGTAGTCAACCGTGGTTCGCATCCTGGACCCGGTGGTTTAAAACTCACGCCAGGCGCGTGTGCGTGTGTGCCTAAGATCCCGAGAGGAGAATGGAGGCGAAGGGATTGCGGCGTGACCATCCCCCTTAGGGGGTGATTTCTCACTTTCTGTCTCTATGTCTCTTTCTGTCTGTCTGGCGAGCACACGTGCCCTATAGCGAAAACCTCTCCAAAAAAAAAGATTATATCTATGTCAATGTGTTGTTCAATGTATGTACAGTCTAAGAACTTTGTTAAAGGTAAACACCTTGACAAAAAAGCTATTTTTGGTAAGTGGCCCTCACTTTTATATAGGTGAGAAGGCCTTTTCCCCTCCACTTTCATAATATTCTAGAGTGCCGCAATAGAAAAAGAAAATATAGCTTGAGATAATAGCAGGTGGCAGAAATTATGTCATTAGTCTGTGATAAAAGTTGCACAGTTGTGTGGCTCCTCACTTTCCCGAGCAAAATATGAAGGTCTCTTTCTTAGTTAAAAAATACATAGACTTTGAAAGAAACAAATACACAAGGTTAAACAGGACCCTTTAAATATGAATTTCTATGTATTACAACAGGACATATATTTGAAAACTAACCTTACTTTAAAGTAAGCATTATTATTATTTTATCTAAAATCCTAATTGTGCTTGGATCACAGACTCTCTGCCATAGCTTTGAGGACCTTCTCCCCCTTCCCTAAGGGTCTGCAACTAACAGTTTTGGATTCACTGGTCAAGACAATCATATGGCAGAATAATTTCTTAATGTTTAGTTTGATAAAATACATAGGATAATAATTTAAAGTATAAACTTTGTTAGATTGTTGACCTACACAAAGATGATTTCATGCAGAAAATTACTTTGGAAAAGACTTTTATGTGATTAAAATAAGATAGCTCAGATCTGTTATAGGTATATGGTCTAGAATTAGAACCTATGAGAAAAAGACTCTAAATTGGGATCATAAGGGAAAAGAGCACATCTTTAAGGAACATCTTAATCTTCAGCAATTTTAGGTGGAAAAAATTAGCTGTTAAGCCAAGTGACAATCAATATTCAGAACAGCATCGAATGTTATTAGGTGGCTAGAAGAAAGTAGTTAAAGGTAACAGTTGTTCTAGGGCTTTCAGTCTTCTGGAATTTATAAGCATTGATGTTAGATAAACATATTACAGTAAACTCTACAACATAACCAGTGCCATTCCACGGAGGTGAAGTTGAGTGCCTGCTGCAAGTACTTTGTGAAGATTCAGCGTACAGTAGATGCAAGGCACAGTGCTGTAGGTGAGGAACTTAAAGCAGTTTCTCGACGTTGGCACTAGTGACAATGGGCAGACGATTGTTTGTTGTGGGCAGTGTCCTACGCATTGGAGGACTTAGCAGTATCCCTGGCCTCTATCCAGTAGATGCTAGTAGCACCCCCACCCCTCAGCTGTGGCAAGGAAATAAGTCTCCAGACATGGCCAGGTTTCCCCTGCAGGGCAAAGTTGCCCCTTGAGAACTGCTGTGTAAGAGAGATATGACCTATAGACATGAAAGCATAAAATACAGTGTATGCATAGCTTTCTGTCCTTTACTCAGCTTACACTGCGGTCACTGGAGGATCCACGATGTATTTATTTTTGTTGTTTTGCTTTGTTTTTGAATTAAATTTATATATACATATATGAATTTTGTATTTGATGTATGTTTTTGTAACTATTTGTATTTCAAAATTGTAAGAGTCAAAGCTACCTAAAATTCAAGTCCAGAGGTGAATCGTGAGTAAACATATAGTACAGTGAAAGCAATTAAACAATCAAGATTTCTAAGTATTAAGGGCTTAGAAACAATGATCTGGGTGGAAAGGGCAGCTGGTAGATAGTTGCATGGTATTTCCGTAGTTTTGAGAAAATAGCCTTTGTGCAAAGAAGAGAACAGGGAGTGGAGAGTGCTCATGGAGGCCATAGAAAAGCAAGGGACTCTGAAGTTCTCCTGTGCCCTCCAGGGATGCCGGCACAAATTGTAAAGCAGTTGTAGAAACCCAGAGATGGGCATGGGGTGAAAAAGTCCCAGAAAGACCATGGAAGAGTGAGGTGGGTAAGTTCTGTATTCCTGTTATTAACAATTTCGGGAGCATATTCCTGTATATAATTGCACTGGATTCTTCCAGTGGCTTATTTTACTTGTTATGTAGCTGAGGAAAGAGGTTCAAAAAGGTTAGGTGACCTCCCAAAACTGCACAGTGAGGAGTACCGGAGCCAGGATGCAGAGCCTGGGCCTGACACGTTATAGATTAGCGGTGAGAAGTCAGAAGAGATGCCTGTGGCTTGAGAGCACAGGGGAGGGGTGAGAGTAAACACAACACTGTGAGGGTGGCAGTAAAGAAACCGCCTGACTGGACTGGGATTGGTTTGAGGACTTGTGGAAGCTGAAACTGGATGAGTAAGATAGGACTGGGTTCTGAGGGCCTTCAGTGCTAGGCCGAAGGATCTAGATTGATCTCTGGCCAATGGGAAGCCATTACAGGTTTTGTGGGACTTAAAATGTTAAAAAGATTAATCTGGCATTATTATATACAATGAGTTGGAGTGAAACTCAAAAACAGGAAATATGGTTTGAGATTTTGAGAGTAATGGTATTAAGCACTTTTCCCAGGAAATGACTAATGAATAGTAGACCCTTACAGCTGTTCCCCATTTATAAACTGTAACTGTGTTTTAGGATCACTCTTAGGTGATAAAACCCGAATGACTGAGTTATCAAGAGATAGGAATGCATACATCAGACCATCTCCTACAAGAGGGACTTTAGGAGGTGTAACAAGGACCACAAATGAAGCCATTCTATTGTGTGAAGGAGGAGGATATGACATCATTCTTATTGAAACTGTGGGTGAGTGTGATACTCTGTTTTATAAAAGCAGTATTCCATTATAATGAATGCTATATCAAGATGACTGATAACTAATTTAATTTTGCTCATTCAGCAGATACTTGGTAAAGGCATAATTGTATACAAGATATTAGCCTAGACTCCATAGAAAATAAGAATATATAGGCTATAATTCCTTCCTTCAAAGGGCTTATCATTTAAAGAGCGAAAATAAACCAGTTATTTGTAACCGTTACACAAAGTGGTATATTATGCCAAAGGAGAACTATAAGCATTAGTGAAATGCTTGGTAAACAGTACTTTTATGCAACACCTATTTTGTTTAAGCACATTTCAGATATCTACTGTATTCACTAAGAAAATTAGTGTGTTGGGGACCAGCAGATGGCATAATGGTTATGTCACTGGACTCGGACATTCAAACCCACATTGTGGTTTGAATCTTGGACCTGGCAGCTTGAAACTAATGTCAGGCACATGTGCATGTGTGCCCAAGATCCCAAGAGGAGAATGGAGGAGAAGGGATCGTGGCGTGAAATCACCCCCAGAAGTGATTTCTTGCTTTTTCCCCTCTTTCTGTCTCTTGGGTGAGTATATGTGCCATATAGCAAAGAAATTCCTCTTAGGAAAAAAAAAAAGAGAGAGAAAGAGAGCAAGAGAAAGAAAATTATATATTGGATTGTCAGAAAAGTCATAATGTATTTTTACATAGAATAACTTAGAAAAATACATCATGGAGACCAGCAGTTGGTGTAATGGTTATGTCACTGGACGACCATGTAGTCAACCGTAGTACGAGTCCTGGACCTGGTGGCTTAAACTCACACCAGGTGTGTACGTGGGTGCCCAAGATCTCGAGAGGAGAAGGAATTATGACATGGCCATAACCCTCGGGGTGGTTTCTCGCTTTCTGTCTCTCTCTGTCTTTCTGGCGAGCGCATGCACCCTATAGCAAAAATCTCTCCAAAATAAGAAGAAAAATACATCATGGCTTTTCCTACAACCCATGTTAGCAGGTGCCTTTTAAACAGGTCCATGTTTTATTTCATTCTTATAGTCTTTCCCATAGTTATATGCGATGAAGATAGTGGAACGGAAATCCTAAGAAATTGACATTCTTATGGAAATACAGTCTGTTTTATTACCATAATTGATAAGTAGAAAATGTACTCAGAGAAAGAGAGAGAGAGAGAGAAAGCAAGAAATCACCACCCCCCCAGGGGGGATGGCCACGCCGCAATCCCTTCTCTTCCATTCTCCTTTTGGGACCCTGGGCATGCACACACGCCTGGCATGAGTTTAAGCCACTGGCTCCAGGACTCATGGTTGACTACATGGGAGTCCAGTGACATAGCCGTCAAGCCATCTGCTGGTCCCGAAACTCTACCATTTGAAGACGAAGGAAGAGCTGCCTGGATGGTAGCAGTAGAATTAAAGGGAAGGGTTCCATAAAAACCAAGTGTATTCCCTGGCAGTCATATTTAGCTGCTGTCTCAGACACTGGAAATGACAGTGGCCCTCCAAGAAAGAGGTTATTTTCTCATATATAAAAAAAAGCCCTAGGCAGGCAGTGCAGAGCAGGTATGGTGCTTCTGCGTACCCTCTATGACACTGAATTCTCTGTCTGCTCACTGTTCTTAGCACTTGGTTTCCATCTTCAAGGCTGTTCTTGTTTAAAGGAGGGCTGACAGAGCTCACCTGTCACTTCTGTGTTTCTAGCAGAAGGAAGAGGGAGAAGTAAGGAAGCAGGAAAGGGATAGGCAGGGAGTTGTACCTCCTATCTGGGTTAGCCATCTTTAAAGAGGTTTCCTGGACACCCCATCTAGTGGCTTTTGCTTTCGCTCACTGAGCATCTCTAGCTGAAAGGGGACCTCACCAGTGTGGCCTTAGCTGGCACACTGAGGCTCCTGCTAATGTTTGGGTAAGGAAGTAAAGAAGAAAAGATATTGAAAAAGCAACTAGAAGTCTCCACCTCACCAAAGTAGGAGAAAGTTCCAAAGGAGTTTTAGTGGAGCAGGGCCTGTGAAAACCAGATTTAAGTGGGTCGCGATTAGTGTTAAGTGGAGACAGTGTAAATTACCTTTTTCTAGAAGCCTAACTGTAAAGAGAAACTGAGAGATAGGTGATTGTTGGAGAAGATTGTGAGGTGTTGCCTTGTTTTTATGTTGTTTTGTATGGTTTTAATTAAGATGGGAGAGACTTGACTTGAGCACAATTTATGTAGTATGCCGAGGAACAGGAGCCTTTAAACAAAGGAGAGGTTAAAGAGAAAGAAGAGTGAGGGCCCAGAGGAAGTGGAAAGGATGAGAGTCTCATCTCCAGCCAGTATTTCTTACAGAGACTGCAGAGGAGGCAGTAAGGCGGAGTTTGCATTTCTGTTCAGCTATGGAGAGGGAGAAGGTGAGAAGGTACTTGCCTTCATTTCCTCTGTGAAGTAGGTGGCCTGGTCATCATCAAGGGGATTATGGGAGCATAGATGTTTGTAATTGCTGTTTGAGAAATGGGGCACTTAGGGAACCGCTTTCCCCAGACAGTGAGGAAGGTGTAATAGATGAGCCTATAGCACTGTTGAGCCATTTTTCCACAAGTTTATAGAGTAGAGGACATGTTTGGTTGATTGATCTCTGATTGGGGGTATGCGGGGCAGGGATAAGGATGAGACCAAAAAAAAGACAAAATGAAAGTATGGGCAGGCCTGGTGTCCAGAGTCACTGTGTTCAAGCTGCCCACTGAGAAACAGAGCCAAGAAAGCTGTGAGAGGAGGAGAGAATGGAGGTCTCTGTGTTCTCCAGTCAAGGAGTGAGTCTAGTGGGGATAAAGGAAAGAGGGAGATGGAAGGATAAGCATTATGCCCAGAGGGTCAGATAGGGACATTTAATACATTCTTCAGAGGTTTAAAGGGTGACCAGGAGTACAAGTGAATGAAGCAAATGACGGTCAATGTCACTGAGAAAGTCTAATTGGGAATATTTTAGGATATAGTTGTGATTGCTTTAGGACATGTTGTGATTTGAACTTTCAGGTGTGGGGCAGTCGGAGTTTGCTGTTGCTGACATGGTTGACATGTTCGTTTTACTGCTGCCGCCAGCAGGAGGAGATGAATTACAGGTAATTATTTCTATTCCCTTTCCCCTCAAAATACAAAATATATCTTTCTGAAAGTACCAATTTCCAGTGTTGTGCTTTTGTAAATTAGGTTAAAAATAGTGTAGAGAAAGAAGCATCATTCACGTCGGTTGAAATACCTCAGTCAGAGGCAAATTCTCTGATTTTTTTCTCAACTGAGATAGAATATATGACCTCAAGCTAAATCTCATAACTTTAGTTTTTCTGCCTGTAACACTGGAGGAAGACAGGGTGGCTCAGCTAGAAGAGACCCCCGCTGAGTGGGTGTTTATAGTGCACCTGGCACCAAAGGCATCACTTGTTTTGACTGGTTCCCACCGTGACAGTTCATCTATTGTACAGCAGGAGCCGTACTCTGCTCCTGCAATGCGCTTCTGGCACTAACTACCCAGAGTCAGTGCAGAATTCACAGGGTGCAGGCATCACCCTCCACAAGCCTTCTCTCTTCAGACACCACTGCATGCTCGGGGCTTCCCTGCCACCCACACCTCTGACCAGCTGGCTGCAAATTCATGGGGTTCCCAGGTCTGCCCCTTAGGTTCCCAGATCTGACAGAATGACTCAGAGAACTTGAGAAAGCACTATATTACAATTACAGTTTTATTATTAAAAGACACTAACCAGGACCAGCCAAATGAGACACAAGGAGAGGTCTGGGAGAGTCCCAAATGTGAAGTTGGTGTGTCCTCAGGACACATTTCTCTCCTGCTTACTGATGTGTGTCACCAACCAGGTATACTTCCCTGAGTTTTTGGTGTTCCAAGGGTTTGTTTTTCTGTTTTGTTTTTGGAGTTTTATTATGTGGGTATCACTGATTATACCATTGGGCTTATAACTAAGCCCAATCTCCATCTCCCATCCTCTCCCCAAGAGGTTGGGCTGATAACGTGTCCTCCAGCCCACTCCAGTCGGTGAGGTGGTCAGCCTCCCATCCTGGGTGATCTCACTGCACAAACTCAGGTGCATTCCCAGGCACCTGAGACACTCTGATCTCTCAAGAACTCCAAGGGTTTAGGGACCAGCAGTTAGCATAATGGCTATGTCACTGGACTCCCATGTACTTGACTGCAGTTCGAGTCTCGGACCTGGTGGCTTAAACTCACGCTGGGCGCATGTGCGTGCGTGCCCAAGATCCCAAGGGGAGAATGGAGGAGAAGGGATTGTGGTGTGGCCATCTCCCCTGGGGAGTAATTTCTCGCTTTCTGTCTCTCTCTCTCTGTCTTTCTGGCAAGTGTATGCATCCTATAGCAAAAACCTCTCCAAAAAAAAAGAAAAACTCCAAGGGTTTAGAGGTTTCCTCACAGAAACTTAAACAAAGACCAGGCAGATTCTTTATCATGTAACATTTTCCTTCAATTTTATGATTCTAAAAAATAATAATAGCCTATGGATGCTGTGATTTAGAGACATTAGCTATTGGAATTTAATAATTGACGGTTCTGTTTTAAAGTATTTGGAAGTAAATGTTACCCTTAGCTGGCAAAAAACTATTTCCCAAATAAGGTTTGCCCTTCAGATTTCATCCGTTACTTACAGTATTTTTATACAGCATAATTTGAATCAAGAGATTAAGGCATTATTTTAGCCACCAGGTTATTTTCTTCAGATGCAAATGGAAAAGAACACGCTGTGTGTATTTAAGGAAATGTTCAGTGACTTTGTTTCTGGAAATGCAGATATTAATGGTATGTGTGTTTTCTTTTTAAGCATGTAACGATGGCTGACTTTGCATCCTGCAGTGTTAGCACATGAAAAGTGACTCTATCATGAGATACCGTGAACTGTGTCCTGCCACTCATTCATGTTGTGTAATGATGAGATATTTACTCTAATTCTGAATGTATTCGAACAAGGAGGAGGTATTACAGGTGGCTTCCATGACCCCGAGAGCCAATGCTTTTGAGTAATTTCTGTCGAATAATTGTGATTTCTGGCCCCCAGGACTTAGGAAGAGGCAGAGAGAAAATGAGCTAAATGCAGTGTATGACTTTCAAAATCTAAACATTGGCTAGTTTTTTCATTTCGTTGCTGGCTGTGATTATATGAAATGCTTTTATAAATCAGTTTCTTTCCTTTTTCTCTTTAGGGTATCAAAAGGGGTATAATTGAGATGGCAGATCTGGTGGCTATAACTAAATCTGATGGAGACTTGATTGTGCCAGCTCGAAGGATACAGGCCGAGTATGTGAGCGCGCTGAAATTACTCCGCAAGCGTTCAGAAGTCTGGAGACCAAAGGTGAGCCTGCATCGCATTCTACATTTTTCACCCCGAGTAGACTGTACGTTTGCAGAGAATGAAAGTCCCAGGCTAGACATATAATCAATCTTTGCTTGTATGTGAAGATTACAGTTTTAAAAATTATGACAAAGCTAGAGTGTATGGTCATGATTTTAAATACAATCCTTCAACCTGTAGATGTCAAAAACTAGATGTGAGGTGATAGATTACGTTGTTCAATGCTTGATTTGAGCCATGTGAACATGATAGCAAATCCATTCAAAAGGAACCATCCTTAAGATTATAGAGGATTCATGACCAGATGATCTGTGTTGAAATTTGAGTGAGAAAAGGCTGGTGATGTAATAACTTCCATTCCCGTTTTGCCTTGTTGGGTGCTGTTTTCAATAAGGAAAAAAAAAAAACAAACCCTATAATACATGATACAGTAATATTGATGTGGGCAGCTTTATCTGCAGGAGGACATGGGGCTATTAAAAATCAGCTGTGGTCATTATAATGGGAACACTGGTGACTTATTTTACTGCCAGCTCCCTGTTTCACCCAATCATGTTGTCTATCTCTGTCTGGAGCCTTCTCTTACATGCACGTGCCAGGTGCTCAGCTCTGAAGACTTGCTGAATCAAACAGATTTGACAGAAAGAATGGGGCTATTTTTTCAACCTCACTTCATTTTCTGGCACTGAGGCCTCAGGGAAACCTACTTAGCTTTGCCCTCTCATCCTGTGACTCTCACAAGCACTCCACGAGGCCCCCACAGTCTGAGCAATGCTACGTCAAAATAAGTCACTGGGCTAAATAATCTGACCTTGAGTCATTGTCTTAGTTCTGCTCTGCACTTAGTCATCCTAGCTACATTATATCAGTGTATTGACTTCAACGCAGCCATGAGAGCTCATTTTTGTCACCTGCCAGTTTCCATAGACTGTAAGAATCAATTGGCAAATGTTAGGGTCCCCGTGAAAATGTTTTCTATCATCTTAAGTCAAATGGTCTGATTCTTTCCTTTTTAATAGGTAATTCGCATTTCTGCCAGAAGTGGAGAGGGGATCACTGAAATGTGGGGTAAAATGAAGGAATTCCAAGACCTCATGCTGGCCAGCGGGGAGCTGGCTGCCAAGCGGAGGAAGCAGCAGAAAGTTTGGATGTGGAATCTCATTCAGGAAAGTGTATTAGAACATTTCAGGACCCACCCCACAGTTCAGGAACAGATTCCTCTTCTGGAAAAAAAGGTTCTCAGTGGGGCCCTGTCCCCAGGACTAGCAGCAGACTTCTTGTTGAAAGCTTTTAAGAGCAGAGACCAATAAAATTTATCCTATACAATAATTATATATGGTTTCATAAAATATTTTAATATTAAAAAAATCACTTGTATGTTTGTATTTCCAGCAATTCCATTTGTAGTGCCCTGTAGTGCCCTGAACCATACTTGGAAAACTTGAAGGAAGTTAGACACAGATGGCAAAGCTAAGGCAGTCTGGCAGTACTTGTAAGGTACCTGTTATATGTCACTGATTTCCATTGCTTTTTATTTATATACGCTGGCATAGTGGCTTGCAGGATAATTTTTTCTCCTTAGGGCCAGAGAAAGTTGAGGAAGACAGAAAAGATCATATACCTTAAAATGCTTGTCCTGATTCTGTATTTTCTGAATTTCCAGAGAAAATATAAGCAGTGGTAACTATATTTTTGAAGTCTATAGGCCAGATTATGGTAGATTTCTAAGAGGTGAAAATCCTAATTGACACTTAGTGTGCCAGACTATTCCCGAAAGTCCTGAAGAGGTCACGTATATGAGTAACAAAACGGCTGGGGTGATAGAATGATGTGGACACAATTGTAAAGTCTCCTCAACTGGACTTGAAGAACCCCTATGAGTAGTAGGTAACAGAGCCAAAAGGGAACTGGGAATATCAGCTTATGTGGTGATTAATCCCCAGGAGTTGAGTAAGGCACTAGCAGATGGAGTAATGGTTACATCCCTGGATTCCCAGGTAGCCGACCGTAGTTTAAGTCCCTGACCCGGCAGCCTAAAACTTACACCAGGGGCATGCACTTGTGTGCCCAAGATCCTGAAAGGAGAATGGAGGAGAAGGGATTGCAGCATGGTCATCCCCCTGTTGGCGGTGATTTCTCACTTTCTGTCTCTTTGTCTCTGTGGAAGCGCATATGCCCTTTAGCAAAAATCCCTCCAACGCCTCCCAAAAAAAGAGTTGGAGTAAGCTACCAGAAGACCCAGGTGAGGTCAGAATGATTCAGGAATTGTTCAGTTTGAAGGTCAACAGAGGCTTTTGCTTCTCTTCAATGAGTCAAAATGCATTGATATTTAACTGAAAACTTGATATGGAAAGGTAATCTTGGGCAATTAATTTTGCTTAGTCATCTCAGCATCCTGCTGGAATGAGGTGAAGGCATATTCTACTTTAAGTAAGGCCAGACATATAATTAAATTAATGCTGCTTTTAACTAATCCAGAGGAAATCATGAGACCTCCTCCTCAAAGTTTTGTAACATGGCTCATCTTGAGGTGTAGATGTTATTTTGTAGAGAAGTGTCTAAGGATGATTGTAAAGCCATTTATCAGACTCATTCTTACATGCTAAATCTTTTTGTATATGAAACTCAACTATTTCAAAGATCAACATTCTCTTATTAACAAAGTCATAATTAATACATATGCTCAGATTTTACTGACTCAGGATTCCATCATATCATACAGGATCTCATTCCCCTGAAGTCTTCTCTTCAAGTATGTTTGAAAGTCTTCAGGTGGGGACCAGCAAGTGGAGTAATGGTTTTGTCACTGGACTCCCATGTAGTCAACTGCGGTTCGAGTCCTGGACCTGGTGGCTTGAAACTCATGCCAGGTGTGTGTGCTTGCTTGCCCAAAACCCTTAGAGGAGAATGGAGGAGAAGGGATCATGACGTGGTCCATGTGGGGAGTAAATTCTTACTTTCTGTCTCCCTGTCTCTGGTGAGTGCATGTGCCCCATAGCCAAAAATCTCTTTAAAATTTTTAAAAAGTCTTGAGGTATTTATTTCCCACTGACCTACAGACAAGTTCACACTCAGGTGTAGCCTATTCCTGTCAGGCTTCTGTTGGACCTTTGTGGTTCCTGCTGCCGCTGTTCCTGTAGAATGTTGCCTGCTCACGTGGTCTTTGGTCACCAGAAGAGTACCGTGTTCTCAGACCAGACATCCTTGCCTCTCTTCCCTTAGGGGCCAGTCTATTGAGCTGGGATAGGAACCAACTATCACCCCATCTCATTGTCTTTACCCCTCCTGTTTCTAACGCAAGGACCTACATATGTGATCTCAGCAGAGAGCATCTCTCACACTAGCCCGCTTCTTAAAATGCACATCAACTGCAAGTGATGCCTGGGTAGTGGGCAGTTCTTTATTTTCTGTATCACCCTATTTGTGTCATGATCTCCCAGTGTCACATATACATGCACACACACACACATGCACAGACATCACACACACATATATGTAGATGACTGCTAATTCTGTCAACAGTTCTCAAAACGGATTTTGTCACCTCCATTTTACAGAAAGAAGTTGAGCATAAGGGATATTAAGAAATTAATCGAAGTAGGACAACAGGTGACATGGTGATTTAAGTTGCTAGACTCTCAACGTGTTGGACTGTGGATCAAGTCCTGGACCTGGTGGCTTGAAACACACCAGGCATGTATGTGTACATGCCCAAAATCCAAGAAGAGAATGGAGGAGAAGGGATTGTAGCATGGCCATCCCCCCAGGAATGTGATTTCTCACTTTCTGTCTCTTTATCTCTCTCTGTCTCTGGCAAGTGCATGCGCCCTATAGCAAAAATCTTTAAAAAAAAAAAAAGAAAAAGAAAAGAAATTAACCTAAATTTACCATTCCTAAATGTGATGCATAATGTACATTAGATTTGAACAGTGCTATTTCCCAAGTTGTTCAAAGTACTTTGTGAACTTTATTTAAAATAATTAAAATGTTTCCAGAGAGAGAGAAAATGAGAAAATATGCCCCATGGGGCATGGTCACACCGCAGTCCCTTCTTCATTTCTCCCTTCTTTCTGGATTTCGGACAGGCACACACATACACACAGCATGTTTTTCAAGTTGCCAAGTCCGACCTTGAACTACACAGCCATGTAGAATCTGGCCACCTTAACCACCATGCCCCATTTCATTCTTTTATAAGGTAGTTCAATGATAGATATTAGCTTCATTTATGGCTACTTCTGTGGTGTAGAGTAGGCTCTGTACATAATTCAAGTAGTAAGAAACTGCTCAGTGTTTTACCTAACAGTTTCTGTATTAACCAGGAATCTTGGCTATAAGTGACAGAAATCGACTAGCATGGGCAAAAACGAGGGAAGAGCAGACTTCAAGAACACAGATGATGCCAAGATCTCCCCTTCGTCTTTCTTCCTCTCTGTGTGCTGATTTCATTCTCCCAGGTTCCTCTACGTAGCTGGAGATGGAGCCCCAGTAGCACTTAGATCCAGTGGGGAACTTCCTCTGTCTCACAGACCCGATTCTGAAGGTCTGAAGGGAGCACTCGGGTTGCCTGCCTGACAGCTCATCTTCCTAGCCAGGACCTTGGGGCTCTATGATTAATTAGAAACACTTGGAGTTGGAGGAAGATCAGCTCATCAAAATAAGCAAGTTGATAATCACAGAATAAAGTAGGATGCCAAGCAACAAAACAAATGTTTACTACAGATGTTTTAATCTGTTTTGGAGTGAGGTGAGATATTTTATAAATGTTATCAATGTGTTACATTAAAAGATGTGAACATGGGACCAGCAGTTAGCGTAATGGCTATGTCGCTGGACGCCCATGTAGTCGACTGCGGTTCGAGTCCCGGACCCGGTGGCTTGAAACACACGAGGTGCATGTGTGTGCATGCCCAAGATCCCGAGAGGAGAATGGAGGAGAAGGGATTGTGGCATGGCCATCCCCCCTGTGGGGCGATTTCTTGCTTTCTGTCTCTCTCTGTCTGGTGCTCACACACCCTGTAGCAAAAACCTCTCCCCCCCCAAAAAAAGGATGGGAATATCATGAAAAGGTTTAATTACCTAATGATTGGTAATATACCAACATGAGATTCATATAGTCAACAGTTGCATATTTGTACTTATGTGGCTATCTCACTCTTATTTATTGGAAATATTCTTCCCCGACCAGTTTTAGAATTCCCCTACACTATGTTATTATTTGATGCATCTGTAAACAAGAAAAGATAGTCTAAAGAGCAACAATTTAAAGAAACATAGTATCTTTTAGGTGTTATTTCTTTCCTGTCTAGCTGATTAGTAGAAGATTTTAAAGTTATTTTATCTTAACCACCCATTTCATACAGTTGAAAAAGCTGTGACTTATGATAGGACAATCAGTTTTAGACACAGGTCTTTTGATTGCGTGGTTGACATACTCAAGCCTATTCAGAAGATACATTTATTCTTTCATCCATTTTTGTCTTTTATTTTTAATTGCCAGAGGATGTATGCATTCACCCGAGAGAGAGAGAGAGAGAGAGGGAGCGAGCGAGCGAGCATCCCCACACATACAATGACATGTGGTCGTGCCACATCCTTTTTCTTCCATTTCCCCTTCCTGTCAGGATTTTGGTCAGACACACCTGTGCTCAGCATTTTTTTTCAAGTCACCAGGATGGGGATTGAAACTGCAGTTGGCCATGTGAGGGATCTAGCTCCCTATACAGGACTTCACTGCTGTTATTGGGCTAGTCCAGATTTATTTTACATACGGAGACTCTCATGAAAATCCAAGACAGAATAAAAGATTAGCCTTCAAGAATGAAGGCAACAACAACTTCCATTTAAAACTTTGACAAGTAACTTGAAAATCATTATTCCCATCACTACAAGAGAAAGGTGGGCAAACTTAAAATAGTGACTTTTCTTGGACCCACAGAAAAACCACCACCCTGAAATCTGGAGAGACAAGTGCATCCAGAGAGTGACAGCCAGGATCTGCTTGCTTGAAGCAGAGACTAGCAGAGCCGTGAACTGGTAGGAACATTTTAAGTAATTGTTTTGTAGACTGGCTGGAGGATGTGTGGACTAGTGTGAAATTGAGAAATTCCAAGAGTCTGCAGTGCCAGGGGAGTCCCTGCACTTTCATGGACTTAGCTCCAGGAACCAGTAACCTTGTCACAATGAAGAGCCAAGGGAATGGGGGGACCCTCCTGACTAGCAGGAGGAGGGGCTTTTTTAATAAACCCAGATCCTTCTCCACAAGGCCTGCTCTAGAGGAAAAAAGATATTGTCCAAGGCTTATCCCAGCCTGGGTAAGGGGACCTTTC